GGTTTGCTTTGGGATTTAAGAAAGGGGGGGGGGGGGAGAAGAACATTTTATATTTAGCAGTGGTTATTTATGAATTAGGAAAATGAATGCTTTCAGTGCCGGCTCTGCTGGCTGCGTGGCGAGCAGGTGTGGCTGTAATGCGTTTACAAGCTCCGGAGGAGGAAGAGGCAAAGCCAGGAGACACCGCCAACGTAGACAAAGGGCTGAGTATCGCTCAGAAAGAACCGAGCGATGGTGCAGACGGGGTTAACTGAATTGAGATTAAATTTAACTGTATGTGGAACAAGGCCATGCTCTGCAGACTAACAAAAAGATGCTCTTCTGTATACCAGTACCTTCTCTGCTAGAAACGTGTAATATGGTTGCAAAAAGAGGGCAAAAATTTCTCCAGGGCGCCTCGGGTCTGGAGGAGGTGCAGGCGCAGCAGGTCCCCCCACGGCACCTGGGCCCGGAGCAGAGGGGAGGAGCTGCCCACGCTGAGCCATTTCCATGCCAGGACCCCATCCGGGATGGAGAAGGCAAAGGCTTCCCAGCGTGGCCGGACCTCGCCACGGCTGCCCTCGGAGCGCAGCACCCATCGCGGCAGCGCCGGCTTCCCGGGCAGGGGAGGAAAGGGAAGCAAAGCGCCAGCAGCAGTTATGGGTGTGCGTTAACGTTGCGTCCTGCGATGAATCATAGAATCACGGAATCCCAGGTTGGAAGGGACCCCAAGGATCATCTGGTCCAACCTTTCCAGCACAATCTAGACGAGATGGCCCAGCACCATGTCCAGCTGAGTCTTAAACGTGTTCAGCGTAGCAGAGCCAACCCTTCCCTGGGGAGATTATTCCCATGATTGACTGTTCTCATGGTGAAAACTTACCTCTCGTGTCCCATCGGAATCTCCCTGGGAGTAACTTGTACCCGTTACCCCTTGTCCTCACCATGGGACTCCTTGTAAAAAGGGAGTCTCCATCTGCTTTGTAGCTCCCCTTCAAGCACTGGGACATGGGGATGAGAGCACCTCGAAGCCTCCTTCTCTCAAGGCTGAACAAGCCCAGCTCTCAGCCTGTCCCCACACGGCAGGCTGCCCCGAGCCTGGATCATCCTGGTGGCCCTTCTCTGGACCCCCCCAGCCTGCCCACAGCTTCTCTGTACAGCGGGGACCCGAACTGTGCACAGGATTCCAGGTGTGGCCTGACAAGCGCCGAGTAGAGAGGGGTCATGACTTCTTTCTCTCTGCTGGCGATGCCCTTCTTGATGCAGCCCGGCCTCCTGTTGGCCTCTCGGCCGCAGCAGCACCCTGCTCGCTCACGTTGAGCCTCCTGCCCACCAGGACCCCCAGGTCCCTCTCCACGGAGCTGCTCCCCAGCCAGGTGGATCCCAGCCTGAGCTGCACTCCTGGATTATGTTTTCCCAGGTGCAAGACCCTACGCTTGTCCTTGTTAAACTTCATAAGGTTCTTGTTAGCCCGCTCTGGCAGCCTATCCAGATCTTCCTGCAGGGTGGCTCTCCCTTCCAGAGTGTC